GTAGCACTCGTCTTTATGCGTATAAGTGCGCGGGACATGCATATAAAGTTTTATGTATTACTGATTTTCACCGTACCTTCAATATTCCGTGACTGAGGTGCACTCTACTTTGGTCATGCCATTTTCCCACGGATTGTTTGTAGTGCTGATTAATCACACCGGTTACCATTGGTCAGTTTTCACAGAAATTTTTAGTCAGTATGAACATCTCGGCAAGTTCTTCCAACGCAGTGATCTATTGAGTTCAAAGACGTTGTGAGGGATTGAATACCCGTTAGATGCGTCGTGTAATTCCAGACTAGCTACATTTGTACTCATCAGAACCGTAGCTGATCTAAGTCAAAGTTTTACTACGGGGAGTACTTAGAAACAATTGCTTTTCTTGTCCCATAGGTTTTCGCATAACTGGATCGATTTGCGATTCATAGAAAGATAATTACTGTCACAAATTCTCTTTGTTTTGTGCATCAAAATTTAAGACTTGACCGACACGTGCTTTCAGTTACTCGTGGCTCGGTGGTTTATTCACTTTTACTGGCGTGCCATGGTTTGGGGTTCGAACCTCACCACGGTCACCCGACTTCGGTGGTAGGCAGCTTTGCTGTTCTCCGGCTCAGTACCACGCAACCTCGTGTAGTTCGCCACTCCAAGTCCCGGGCCATAGGTTATCGGCGGCCATCATTGACAATGGGGTCCACTCCATCTGCTGTTCATCACACAACTGTGTATGATGAAAAAACAGAATTATCGATGGGATCGAAGATCACTTGAATGTCTAAAACCCAAAGATGGTTGGCTTTTGGAAAGTATGAAGTTGCTCTGGCATGTATCGAAGAGTGACAGGCGCATGCATTCACAACCCGTGTGATCTTTACGCGTTTTTTATTCTGTGAAGAATAACGGACGCTACTGTGCTTCACATTTGTGCTTGGTACTTCCGTTGCACTGGCCCGTAAACACGAGAACTAGGCTCGGTTTTTCTTCTACGAGAGTTGACTTGGGGGGGAACAAAGCTTCCGCTTCTCCAACGAGAGTAGGGTATAAAGAATCACTTTCTGAATGGTGGAGTTGCTAAACGACGCTGTAAATCCACTGAATCCACTTTACCACTACCCGCTGTTTTTCCTAACGGAACCCTGTCTCTGACTTATGTAGGCTCCAACAAGTATAACAGTGTTTGATCCCTGATCTGTTACCTAGCCACGGAGTCGACATTCGTCAAATGACGAATAAATCCTTGCCTCACTGCAATATGGCGCTTCGACTAGATAC